GCGGAGAGGGTGGAGCAGTGCCTCAGGCCGGAGAGGAGTGGGACGGGAGGTGCTGAGAGGGGCCTGAGGCTCCTCGGAACATGGAGGCGCCCGAACCTGGCCCGAGACCTGGCCGTGCAGCCGGCGCGGCGGCCGAAGAGCACGAACCCGCACGCGCGCGCGCAGGACGAGGAATGGCGGCAGCGAAACAGAACCGTCCTCACGTACATGGCCGCGGCCGCCGTGGGCATGCTGGGGGCGTCCTATGCCGCCGTGCCTCTCTATCGGCTCTATTGCCAGGTAGGGGCCGCCGCTGCCCACCCCACTGGGCGGTGACCTGTTGGGATGTCCGAGATGATCACCCAGAGAGGAAACGGGCCCAAAGCGGTGACTGGGCCAAGGTCACCAAGGAAGTTCGCGGCGGAGCGGCAAGTTACAAATAGAGTGATCCTGCTGCAGAGTGAAATTCCTTCATCTCTGAGCTCGCCCGAAAGGTCCGCAGCCTGCACCCCGGAATCCAGCCATCTGCTTTACCCTCCGGCCGCTGGCGCACGCGCCCGCTTTTAAAAATGTGGTGCATGTTGCACATTAACTCGGTGAGCCAGCCACACGGTTGATGTGCGCAGGTTCACCCTGGAGATGGGAGTCTGCGTGTTACTTGTGCTTACACCGCGAGTAGGTTTTTATCCATCAAAAGAGACCTGAATTAGGCCTTTAAGCGCCCCGTCCCCCTAATTTGTAACTAACGTACTTATCCTGGGCTCCGTGTTCATCCGCATCCTGCTCGTTCCCAGTGTGGTCCTCGGGACCGGCAGGACCAGCATCACCTTGGAACTTGAGTGCAGATTCTTGTGCCCGGCTCCTGACCTACTCAATCAGGAGCCTGGGCGTCAGTATGTGAATAAGTCCTCTAGCTGGTTTTGATGCAAACTAATGTTTGAGAACCACTGGCCAAGGCCAACTTCCCCCAATTCATATATGGTCTCTATAGTTCTTAAAAGTAGTAATTTTTGCTGCTCCGGCTGGGCTAGGCATTGGAGTAACCCCGGAGCTTTTAAAAAAAACTGACAGATCAGTGACATCCCAAACCAGTTAAATCAGAATGTCTTGGAGCGGGGGTCAGGCATTAGTAATATTTTAAAGATTCCTCAGAATCTTTTCCTCTGTTCATACCTGGCTAACTTCCCCTGAGCTTACAGAGGGGAACTTACCTTTGTTTTGTGTGATGACCGAGACAGAAGTCAAGGGGACTTTTTCAGCCAACTGATACCAGCATTTATGTGGGAAAGTGCCATCGCTTGATTTGTGGAGGATGTGTAGATTGTGAATTAGTTTCCAGCAGAGGCCAGCCGAGAGCCAGCCTGAATCCCCAAACAGCAAGAATGGACCACCACAGACCAAGTTGATTTTATTCCTTAGGGAATATTTAGCAATGTCTGAGGACATTTTTGGTTGCCACAACCTGGCAGGAGGGCGCTACTCGTATCTGGTGGGTAGAGGTTAGGGATGCTGCTAAACATCTAACAGGACAGACACAACCCCACCTCACCACCAAAAAAAGAGAATTATTCAACCCCAAACATCATTAGTGCCAAGGTTGAGAAATCCTGGCCCAAACTGAAATGAATGGCGATATTTTGTGTGCATGTGTGCAAGCACAGGGCAGAAAAGTAAAAGCAGTTGTGATTTATCCTAAATTTAAATCACAGTTGGATGTTAAATAGTGACATTTCCAACCAGAGTATCTCTCTCACTTTTGGACTCAGAACTTTAGAGGCAAAAATAAGGGCTTATATAAACCACTTAATACAGTGAGCTCATTTTATGAGTCTGCAACATGTGCCCAAAGAAAGTAAGATGTATTGAGTTCTTGGATTCAGTTAGTGGCAGAACTAGACTGGAGACCAGGGCATATTTTCTTCTCAGTGCCCTTTTCTATTTTTTCTCATCATCAGACATAAATTTAAAGAATCTATATTCGAAGACTGCCAGTCAGAAATAGTGCCTGAAGGAATCTATATTCAAGTGATTTCGAATTCTTCAGGAAAAGGAGTCATGTGTTAAAATGTAAGCATTATCGCCTTCTTGGGCAGAAGAATATACTTCTATATTACACAAAGATAAAGGCTTGCCCTCTGATGCATCTTTTAGGGTTATAATGTAATTTGCATGGCAGTCAAATGAAGCTAGCCGACTGGTGTAACAAGCGGGAGTTAGTAATACTATATTTTGCTGGGAGTCTTCCCCTAGCCTCAAATTTGGTATTTTTTTCCTAGTATAGTAAGAGATTAATTATCCAGAGACCAGAATTCTGGCAACCTCAAGCATCAGAAGAATGATGAGCCTGGAAGTAAGAATATTTTTTTAAAGCATCTTTGATGATAAAGGAAATAATGGCAAGAAAGATAGGGAAGAAGTGTCATACACAGATTATTCTGATGTCTTATGATTAGTTCATTCAGTGGCCAAAGAGATCAAGTTCTCTAACTGATGGATATCTGTAAAAGCTATACTACACAAAAATTACAGAAGTTACAAAAACATTTACCAACATGGGAAAATACTTGTGGTACTTGAGAAAAGCAGATTACAGAAGTGAAGCTACAATGAATCTGTGCTATAAAAGTTAATAATATGAAAAAGGACCAGATAGGAAAATTGAATTATTTAAATAGTTTTACTAAAATGACAGGATTGTGGGTAAATTTTATTTCTATTAATAATAGTTGATATGAAATACTAGGAATAAAGGAAAGTATGCTTATTGAAAAGCTAAATATTCTGAGCTGTATTATCAGTGAAGAGTCTTCTGTCTTCCAAATGACTCATTTTTGACCAAGCCACATAACCGAGTGATTACTGAGAAAATACGACTTAAATAAATTTAGGTCTTTGACCCCCCCCCCACCCCCAAAATGGTTAAATCATTTGACACATTCATAGGAAATGGTCAGTGATAGTACATAAACTTGGCTCCTATTGTGTTATTAAAGCTAAATGGTTTTTAAAATTATGATTTTGTCCAATAGATCGTCAGCACCTAAAAGTAATACGTAACATATAACACTTCTTTTTCTAGACGACTGGACTTGGGGGATCAGTAGCAGCAGGCCATTCATCAGACCAGATTGAAAACATGGTGCCTGTTAAGGATCGCATCATTAAAGTCACCTTTAATGCAGATGTGCACGCAAGTCTCCAGTGGAACTTTAGACCTCAGCAAACAGAAATATATGTAAGTGATCAAAGAAATACCTGTAAGTATTAAAAGATTACTTTTTTCAGTGTAAAAATTCAGTGAAACTTAAAACTTTCACAATTTTGAAAACACCTAAATTTAATTTCAAAATGTTGACAGACTCCATAACTAAGTATGCATATTAGAGCATTGGTTCTTCACTGATATATACAAGTAAAATTTGGAAATCAGGTGTTCATGGGTAGTATTCACTATTTTGCTGCCTCTTAGTTTAGATTAGGTATTATGGTCTGATGGATAGGAAAAATAATATGACTGGTTTAGAAGGGAAAGAAGGAGCTGTGTGAG